TGACTAATATAATTATCGCTTCAACCATACCTTAACTGTATTTTATATAATCCCTAACTACGTTTTAAACCTTCTAATGTTTGAACCAATATTAAACAAAAATCTTTCTGGAGTTAAACAATAAATATATAGCATATTTAGTATAATAATTACATAAAAAAATAAGAATATTACATATATTAACCTACTTGAATACATATTTAAACAAATAATTTGTAGGTTGATTATGTCAAATTTAATTACATACCATTTTTATTTTCATATTATTGAAGCCACTACTATACATATTTTTGACCTTAATAATAATTTAACATTATAAACCAGAATTCAAATTTATTTACTAATACCCTGTATATAGTTATCATCTATATTGTACTACCAATATGAATTTTTTTTTGCTTGTAACAAGTTGGAGTTTTGTTAACTTTAAAAAATAATTGCCGATTTTCATATGAACATATATTATAAACAACGGGTAGATTGCTTTGTCCGCCACCCATGGTGGTTCCTCCAAAAAATAGTTGGACCTTAAAATTATAATATAAATTATAAATTAATACTTCGAATAAGTAATACTAATATTAAGACCTTACTTGATCATGATTTTTTCGTTCTAAGCTAGACGTAGTAAAGAGCCGTAAAGACAAGCCTTTTTTTTTTAAATTGTACATAAATTGAGCAATATGATATGCAAAAACATGCATGTATGGGCTGACATCTGTTCTATTATAGAGTCCCATTTGCTTAATCTTTCCATTGTGAGTTTTCTGAGTAGGTCTACAAAAATCTTTAACCCAATTCCGTGCTTGTATTTCAAAAAACTTAATCATATCATCAGATGGATCTTTATTTCGCATAATATGATAAAGATCTAAAAATCTTCTTCATAATTGCTCAATATCCTTTCCTCGTTGTCCAGCAATAAAGGAAGCTACTGGAAATTTCTCTAAAATAATTTTTTTTGCTGGTCCCATTAATGGCGTCCATTTAAATTTTGCGCCAGAGGTTTCAGGATCATAAAATCGAAAGGTTACACCAATTGATTGCATTGATAACTCAATATGTTGCCGAATAGTTAAATTATCAGCATTATTAGTAGAATTAGGCAGACGATTGAAATATGGATTTTTCATAAGCTCATAAAAAAAGCATTCCAATAAGATATCAGCAATTCGTAACAATAAATGTAATTCGTCTGGAATAAAATTTTCTAATGGAACACAAGGTAAAAGGTTAGAATATTTACGTCCTATGATCAAAATAATTAAAATAAGTAAACAATAAGTTGGAATATTTATTTGCCGTTTGCCACTGCATATAGTACCTGGGTTTTTAATCAAGAACTTTACTTTTAAATTAAATAGTATCCGTAGAGAATGTTCTATAGAATAGGTAAGCAATAAAAAAATAAGCTTCGCTAATGATTAGTAATCATTAATTTTTTAATATATTAGCGGAGTTTAATGGAGTTTGCCCACCTATTCTATAGAACAACCCTCGTGGGTATTGTGTGAAGAACCAGATACTATATTCGGTGATATATAATATAAAAAGTATAAACTAACATAGTTATACTCTGAGTATTATTCAAGAAGTAAGCTAAGTAAGCGCTAAATAATACCCAGGTCTTAATCGAAGGAAGTATTATTTTAGAAAGACAATATATGCAGTGGCAAATAGTATAGTAAAATTAGCATTTATTTATAAATCATACCTTTTGTATTAACTAAGTTTATCCAAGTCTGACTCATATCCCAACGTACATTTCGTTCACAGTTGCAATAAAGACAAAAAAAGTTAGAAGTCGCGGCATTAATACCCATAACTAAAGTAGCGAACTTCCAGTCACTTGAGAACCAAAATTCTACAGGCCATATATTGCCGTTTAAATCATAAAATCCATTTTGTGATAAATCTTTTAACTCTTCAATAAATAATCCAAAAGCTATTTCAAGTAGTTCACGTTTTTCCATTCCAACATAAAGACAAATACTATAATTAGTTTTATATTAGTATTATTATAATTACTATATATAAATACTGCAAATTTAATAAATCAATATAGTATATACCTATGTTGATTCTCCGGAAACAATACTGCTTCTTTTTCATTTAAAATGCACATTGTAAGTAATACATGATTTTGTTGGCGTCCTACTTGACGACCATCACCACTGAGCTTGATTTTAATTGTATCATTGTAAACTAAAACTGGTGGCTCTGAATTTACTAAATAAGGTATCAAAATATTTAGAATAGAACTAATTGTTCGATAAACACCATTTTCAATATTATTTATCATAAATAAATTAATTGGAACTTTGTTGCTCATAAAATTATTAATTTCTGTTCGTCGTTTGCTTATTAAATATTCGCGATCTATTCCAGGTATTACTGCTGCCAATCGTCGTAGACTATCTCTTGAAACTAATGCATCATCAAAAGCATAAACGATAGAATCAAGGTATTCATCTGTAGTAAAATTATCAACTAATGATTGAAAATTAAGCTCAATTGTATTATTCTTATATCAAAGATCAACCTTTTCTACTTCCAAAGATGTTGTATTATGTTTTAAAAATAATGATTGTACATTATCTTTAATATTATTGGCAAGTGACCTAAGTCGTCGATTTATTTGTGATAAAGACAGTTCTTCTAAAGGTTTTTGTTGAGAACTACGCTGTTTTTCTAGATCTATACTTTGAGAATTACGTCGTTTTTCTAAACATTCCAAATCAAAAGCGAATAATTTTACTCCTGAGATAGAACTTTTATTAGATTTTCCTAATTTCTATAAAAAATTTAATACCGGTATAAATATTACTACTAGATATATTAAAATATAATGATAATTAATATATTACCTGTAAAAACTTGTTGCTTACATCAGTTGCAGAGCTATAACTTGTAATATATTGCTGTGTTTCACTATTGTGATCAATCCAACTTATTGTATATTTTACTAAGTTATTTTGGTATTGAGTTTTACATGTAATTTGAATTTTATATATTGTTACTATAAATGAATAGTCATCTGGTATTTGATAAACTGTCCCATTAATTGAATTGCGTCGGGTTTTGGTAACATTTAAAGGATAAAAGCCAAGTGAAATAATTCTATAAGTATAGTTGGTTTTTCGTTGGCTCATTATTCTTGTGACATAGATATACGGATAGTTATCTTTAACCAAATTTTGTGATTTTTTGTTTTGGTTATCAGAACTATCAGGTAAGGATTTTGATTTTTGTGTTTGAGAAAAGTAATTTTGAAAAAACCCCACAAATTTGCTAGTATTAGTATCTGCGGTATTTGTATTACTATCGTTATTCATTATAATAATTCGTGATTAAGCAAAATGTGATAATTTAAAAAAAAACAGGTTTTTTCTTTTTTAGATCAAGCCGCGATCAAGCCGCGATTTTCAAAATAGGCAATCACCTATATATATTTTATTTATAGAAAGCAAATTGATTGGCCTGATTCAAAAAATTGATGTGCAATTCGCAAATATCACATTATGTTAAATGCGTCAAATCCGCCCATATGTTGGTATGAGAATGGGTTAGGATTAGCACAGAGATTAATGAGTAAAGGTTTGATTTCAGGCTAGTAATGGAATTAGTTACATAAGAGAATGTGATTCAAATATTCATTATCGATTTAGTAGAGAATGTTTATTATACAAATAGGTTACAAGTTTTTTTAATTTCTATTATCAATATAAATTAGATTTTTCATTATTAATTAACATTAAAAAAAAAAATAAAATAAATTAGATTTATAGATAAGACAATATCAGGGGTTTTATAATCAATAATACAGAAATAGAAATCACGTCTTTAGGGTCTTATTCTAGAAATAGAATAGTATAACGATAATGATAATCAAGATGAATAAGTAAGTGAGGTGCATGGGAAAATAAAATACAAAAACAGGTATGTAGCTCGTTTAAAGTTAGACTAAATTTCATGCAGCATACAAATCTAGGAATAAGTGTTACATCGAATACGAGACGTAACATATGTTGTTTCAATATGTATTTACACTCTTGCTTCAGACACACATTTAATTTGCAATATAACGACATGCTTCATGAAATTTTTAATATTACTACATTCTGGTAACACTTTGTGAAATTTTCAATTTTCAATATCTCTCCAGTTCCGGTATTGCTTTTTTACGCCAAATAATTACCGATAAAATTAGACCGGTTTCTGACAGGGGCATGAACTTGTTCCTTAACTAGTTTATGATTAGGGAGGATAATGATTATAGTTTATATAATTTTAGCAATAAAATGCAGAAAATGGTATATTCAGTTCATTTATTGTACACAAAGTAGTAAACTAATACACGAAGTGATCACGTTAGCAATAATGATAAGTTTTTAAAAATCAAGATTTAATATAGATAAATCTCGTAACTCGGATCTCATTACATAAATAGAATTATGCTATAAATTAAATTATACAGAAATGACTTTACTTGATTGCACACATGGTGCCAGATAATCTAATCATCGATTAGGATTAACAAATGCAGTTCCGCAGGTAATCAGATTATTGAAATATATATCTGCTACAAGCTTCCGAAAGCTGAAAAGGTGCCGGTAAAATTTGCCGTCATTGGCTATAATGACGGCCGATTTTAATCAGGGTTAATTTTTTCAGAAAGTTGGTTCACCCTTTAATTCAAATAAATATAATCCAATGATTATATGCATTTGAAACGCTCAACAAATTCTTTCGCTATCATCTTTGACGATCATTGGTTATTATTTAATCAACCCAATAAAAAATCCTAAAAAAAAAAAACAAAAATGCCAAAGATCCAGCAAATAGATACGTAAATTTGCATCGGGTCACCGATATTTATGTATAAAAATCAAGTTCGACTATAATCTGTTATGGTACTTGTAATCGCATTCATGTGTATAATGATATTTTGATATCGGCTTTAAATAAATCGATCAGAAGCTACCATATTGCAATAGTAATAATAAAGTATTAAAGTATTATCCATAGTAACCGCATAACAATTTCGTGACCACGTGATGATATGCGCTAAAATTTCATTGGCCAATTTCAACCGCAGATCGTCAATGCATTTTTCGAATAATAAATTAACTCTTGACGCGTTAAGGTAAGGGTGAGCACTCGGGTTAGGGTAAGAGGAGGCTTATGTATAGTAAAATTTTGCAAGGAATTTTTTTTGTTAAGAAACGGAAGGTAGTTTTATAATAAAAATTTTGAGTTATGGA